GCAGAGATGAATAAGTGCCTCCTGTGCCGCCTCACTTTCTTGAAAGATTTCAATTTGTATTCCATCAATTCCTGGTGCCTTTTTCTTTGCCAAGTCCTTCAATGCACCTTGGACTTCCTCCTTCAGTATCATGGTTATTGGTAATATGCTACCTCTTGAAATGGTTGAACATTAACCAATTCATTTTGGTACGGTGACTCTGTGTATTCCTTCCATCTTCTCTTGATGTTTTCTGCATCATTCAATAATTTGCCCAGTGAATCTTTCAATAATGATATTCGAGGCTTGAATTTTTTCTTCATTTCCCTTAGCTTGAGAAATGCTGAGCATGTTCTTCCTTTTTGGTTTTCTGATTCCAGATCTTTGCATATTTTTTTGTAATATTTGTGATATTCAATTATAATTGACACTAAATCCACTATAGTTAGTATCCTTAGAAAAAGAAGAGGAAATTTTAGGCTCAGAAATGCGTAGAAGACAGAGCCATGTAAAGTCAGGGCCTATACTGAAATGATGCAGCAATAGGGCCAAGAAATGCCCGTGGTGGCTGAAAGACATCAGAAGTTAGCAGAGAAGCATGGACAGATTCTTTCTTTGAATTTCAGTGGGAACATGACCTTGCCAACACCTTGATTTCAGCATTCTAGCCTCTAGACATTGAGAAAATAAATTTCTGTTGTTTCAAGTCACCCAGTTTATAAAGCTGTGTTATATATCCCTAGGAAATCCATGTGCCTTAGGGACCTTGTTCACCCTCTATATAAAACCCATGGCAACTTCTGGAAAAAATCTCTTGACCTGGCTTCTGGGATCCTTGGCTTGCCCCCCTCTATGAAGAAGCAGACTGTTCTTCTCTTCAGGCTAGTGTCTGAGAAGTCAGACTTTGCAATGACACAACATAACCTCATTTGATGCTGCAGTATAATCAAAAAGAATATTCTCAGATTGACTGCCACTTAATTCTTAAGAAGACCTAGTTGAAAACAATCTTTGAGAAGAATGCCTGAAGGATAAACTGGCCATCCATTCTCCTTGACTAGACATTATAAACACCATGTATCTAGCCCACAAGTGAATTTTGTTTAGACCAAAATTTTGGATATCCACAAAGTTCCCCATAAAAATACAGATTGCTGGCTTCTACTGAAAAATCAGAACACCCAGCAGTGATTAGTCTGTATTTCCATAAAGCAAAAAATCAGCTGGAGTTGAATAAAAAATGTTCCTTGTGATGTAGGTTCTACTTTGCCACTGTTCCCACTCAGCCCACCTAACTCATTGACCCAAAGTGTGAGTTTTCCAGCCATCTGACAATTCCTCAAGGAGCTCTGGTAGTGTTGTGATTATGAATCGGGCTGTGAGCCTCAAGGTCAGCAGTTTGAAACTACCAGCTGTTCTGTGGGAGAAAGATGAGGCTTTCTGCTCCTGTAAAGATTTACAGCCTTGGAAACCCTGTACAGGGTCGCTATGAGTTGGAACTAACTCCATGGCACATAACCACCATGACAATCTCTCAATTCTTTATTTCTGGAATAAGTCAGATAAGCACAGCTGTAGATGTGGGGAGCAGTCCTTTGTACACAATTCTTCAACCATCAACATCACCACGTTCATCTCTCTCCTGGACTGAGTTTACATTTAGAAATCTGCTCACATTAAGGGCATTTAACAGGAGTCCTGGTGTGGCGCTATGGGTTAATGAGCCAGACTGCAAAGTCATTTGAACAGTAAGGTTGAAGGTTCAAGCTCAACAGCTGCTCCTTGGAAACCCTATACAGGGTCACTATGGGTCGGAGCTGACTCAACGGCACTTAACAACAGTAACAACAAGGCCAATCAAGACACGAAGATGGTGTTGAAGATGAGGGTGTACATGCTCAATACCAGCTGTTGTAGACTGAATTGTGTCTCCCAAAAATGTGTTGTAAATCCTAACCCCAAAACTCATAGATGTAGTCTCCTTTGGGAATAGGGCTTTCTTCATTACATTAATGAGGCCATAATGAGTCTTAAGGGTGTGCCTTAAACTAATTACTGTTAATATATGAAAAGAGCAGATTAGGCACAGAATCAAGAAGGGATGATGGGGGAAGAAATATAGATACCATGCCACATGAAGATTACCAGTATTACCAACATCACCGAGGAACTGAGGAACAGAAGGTAAAGAGAGACAAGGGTCTTCCCCCAAAGCTAGCAGAGGGAGGAAGCTGTCCCCTAGAAGCGGTACCTTACATTCAGACTTCTAGCCTTCAGAACTGTTAGAAAATAAATTGCTGTTCATTGAAGCCAGCCAATTGTAGCATTTCTTTTATAGCAGCACTAGCAAACTAAGTCACCTGGGAAGGGTATACTCCTCAAAAGCAAATTTTCAGTAGTTTCAGGAGCCTGTGCACACGTAACTGGCTCTGAGTGTTTCTTAGACTGGCTGCTCCAAGGTTTCAGAGGCACATTTACTGTGTCAGTAAGGACAAACAGGTGTTCTGTGGCTTCATGATTGTACCAACCTCACTGGTGACTCTAACTGATCTTTTCTTCCTTTGTTTGTTGTTTATCTCCATGGCTTTGTCTATTTTTTTAAAGTTGTTTTTCTTACAGTATTCCTACAGTCACCTTAAGTTATTTCGGAAATAAGTTGAAGATATAGATCAATTAATCCCCTTTTCTAATAAAGTAACATTGTGCATGAATTATTCCTCATTTTCATTTTTAACATGTAACTGCTTTCACTGCCTGTTTGGAATTAAAAGATAATGGAATTTCTCCAACTTTTTGAAGCTTCCTCATACATTGATAGTAAGTCCTGAGAAAGCCAGAACCTGTGGTGTATGGGAACTTGTCAGAAAAGAAAAAATCAAATATTTTCCACTCAAATAAGCAACAGAAAAGTGGTAAAATTCTGTCATATCAAATGTGGAAAACTGATGGGAACCCCCCCCCCCCACACACACACACACAGTTTTGGCTCTCTTAGATTTCACAGGGTGTGTGTTTATGTGTGTGTGTGTCTTCAGGAACCAGACACTCCAGAATTCAAATTCTGTGTCTACCATTTACCAGTTGTATCATTTTGAAAAGTCATCTGATTTGTAAAACAGGACTAATAACGGCTATGTTGTAGCAGTATGATACATTTTAAAGACAAAGTATATAAAATGATTTCAACAGTACAGACTCTTCAGTAGCTGTTGTTGTTGTTAAGTACTGTTGAGTTGATTCCGACCCATAGCAACCCTGTATAGGATTTCCAAGGAGCAGCTGGTGAGCTTGAACCACCAACCTTACAGTTTAAACAACTTTGCAGTCTGACACATTAGCCCACAGTGCCACACCAGGACTTCCTCTTTAGTAGTAGTAATAGTTATTGTTGTTGTTGTCAGGTGCTATCGAGTCAGTAACAACTCATAGCGACCTTATGTACAACAGAACAAAACTCTGCCCGATCCTGGGCCAACCTCACAGTTGTTGCCACACTTGAACCCATTGAGGCTGCCACTTTGCCAGTCCATCTCACTGGGGGTCTTCCTCTTTTTCTCTCACCTTCCCCCTTACCAAACATGATTCCTCACACATCCTGGTGTCTTCACATACATTAGGCCATGTTTTCTTGACATCCATAAAGGTAGTTCCAAATCTGAGAGGAGTTTAAGTAACTTGCCCAGGTGACCCAGCAGGAATTGGAAGCCAGATATGTCTGACTCCAAAATGCAAAATCCTACCCCAAACTGAAATAAATACATGAATAACCAGAGATGAATAGATAGATGTTGTGTGTGTGGAAACAGTTACAAAGTGCCCATGAAAGATACAAACAAATGCCTGCCTACTCTTTCAGTGAGTGGGAGAGCATGTTAAGCTTCTTTGGCAGGTAAACAGGGGGGAGGAATTTGCCAGAATTTCTCAGCATGAGATTCTGGTGGTGAAAAGAAACCTCTTATGCCTCTATTCCTTTTCATAAACACTCCCAAAAGACTCTTTGGGATATTTTTGACCCTTGGCTGACAGTTCCATTCCTATGTTAACTGCCAAAGCTGTCACTCACTCTGCCATGGCACTTCCTATCTGCCGGTAGGATCACTGCTCCACTCTCCTAAAGGAAACCAAATAGACAAGTCCTCTCCCCAGAAGGGCCTCTCAAAGCAGGAGGTGTCGGTCACTGGGCTTCATGCCACAGCTTCACTAGGGCTTGGGTGACTGGCGTTCCTCACTGATAATTGTTAGTGACCGGATAAACTCAAATGTAAAAAAAAAGCAAGTCCTTAGGGAAGAATGGAGGCAGGAAAGGACTCAAAGAGAGGAAGCACTTTATTCCATTCCAGTTTCTACCTTAAAAGATAAAGATTAAAACACGAATATTTTAAAGCTAGCCACTCTTCTTTAAGCATCTATGTTTCAGGTATTTTCAACCAAAGACTGAATTTCTTTGGTACCAAATACACAGGTGCATTGAGCAGATGTTTTATACAATATATTACCTGGAAATCAACAAAGGTAACCTCCCATAGGCTGGAGATATCATCCGTGTAGCTGGGCAACAAGAGGGCATCATACCGCTGCAGATTGCTGACGTGCTGGCAGTGGTAGGAATAACTTGATGGAGCATATATGCCAGTTGCATTAAACGTTGCTTGGACTGAGTTATTGAAGATAATCTCCAGTCGGTGTAAATTGAACCAACTCTGGACTGACAATTTGTTGTAATTGGTAAGGATGAATCTGAAAATGATTATAAAATAGTATTACTCCAAAGCACTTTAACTACATTTGCTGACAAAGGACATCATTAATGAACAGTGCAATAGCGCCCTCTTTTGTCACATAGTATAACTGGCTTGGGGAGAGACTGGCCCTCTTTCGGTTTCAAATAAGAGCCCCGGGTGGATAGGAAGAAAAACAAATGACAGGGTAGTCCACAAAACTGAGAAATACAAATTCCTACAAAACAGGGAAAGAGCCTGGTTTCGTCGTCTTATTTTATTTTTTTTTTAGAATCACGAATTATGTGTTTATTATTGTAAAATAAATTTTTTAAGAAAAAAATGTGCATCAATACCCAGTAAACCAGTTGCTTCAACCTCCCTCCACTTAGCTCTTCTCTAGGTGACAAAAACTTTTGAGGAGAAAAGAAACAAAAGGGCCCTTGCTGGTCTGATAGTGCCTTCTTCGTCACTGGCAATTTCTTCTAGAATGACAGAATCTCCTTAGTCAGATTAAGGAAAAAAGTGGAGTCCCTAGGAGGCGTAAATGGTTAAGTGCTTGGCTACAAACCAAAAGGTTTGTGGTTTGAATATACCCAGAGGTACCTTAAAAGAAAGGTCTGGTGGTTTGTTCCAAAAGGTCACAATCATGAAAACCCTTGAAACTTAAAAAAAAAAAAAAAAAAAACTCTGTTGAATCAATTCCAGCTCAGAGCAACCCTATACCGCAGAGTATAGCTGCTCCATCGAGTTTCTGAGGTTGCGAATCAGACTGCCTCATCTTTTTCTGGCTGGCGGAGTGGCTTGTGGGTTCTGTCAACCTTTCAATCAGCAACCCAGTGCTGAATCCACTGTGCAACAATGGCTCCTTGAAAATCCTGTGGAGTGCAGCTATGGTTTGTAACCTTTGGGGTCGACATGAGCTGATGGTAACTGCTTTTAGGGATGAAATGGAGTTCCCTTTCTTCTGAGGTATATCGGGGTATACTCAAACCTCTCACTTTTGGTTAGCTGCCACGTATGTTAACCACTACAACACCCAGGGACTCTTACACGAATATAAAATAAGGAGCTCTGGTAGCGTAGTGGTTACGAATCGGGCTGCAAACTTTAAAACCTTAAGGTCAGCGATTTGAAACTACCAGCCGCTCCGCGGGAGAAAGATGAGGCTTTCTACTCCCGTAAAGATTTACACCCTCAGAAACACTGTACAGGGTCGCTATGGGTTGGAACTGACTTGACGGCACTTAACAACAACAAGTAAATTATGGTTGAAAATCATAGTAATAGCTCTTACTATATGTGCCAGGAAAACTTCTATGTTCTTTTAATGTATTATTTTATTCCAGCTTCATCACCGCACCATGAGATAGGTAATATAATTAGCCTCATTTCCCAGCTGAGGAATCTAAGTCCCGAGAAAAATACAGTCACAGAGAGTAAATACTGGAGCAGGACTTTTGAATCCAGTGTGAGATCAGGGCCTTTATCCTTAACTATTTTGCAATGAAATATTCTTTGGCCATGAAAAAAATGATAATGCACATATGCCATAATTTTTTTGCTCATTAAAAAATGTATGACTACAACACTAATGGGGTATGCGCACCATGGAATGGTCAACTATTCAATATCAAAAGTGCAACATTAACCTGCCATGAAGGTTCAGAGGGGTGGGAAAGAAGGATGGAACAGAAAAAGGGACCACAGAGAGGAAGTAGGTAACTGTCAACAATCATTAAGATGAAACAAAGTGTGTGAGTGACGTGCTGGATGTAAAACTGCTGATCTGTTCTGGAAATCCTCACTCAATTCACAACAAAACGTTTAAAAAAATAAAAGCATGGTTGTATAAAGAATTAGCTGAACAGATAGAGATCAAAAGGTCCACAGTAATTACAACTGCTAGACAGATTGTGGGTGAGTTTTAGTTCAGTATTTTCTGATTTTCCTTTTTATAGTGAATAGATCAGAGTCAAAAATTATCTGACTGCCAATTATATTAAAATGCTCATCCACACCCATGGCTGATGACACATTGAGCATGCACATGAAATGACTCTGTCGAATAGCGGAGTGGCAGTGGATTATGTGGCAACTCATTTGCAAATCAGCCATGGCTCTGCCTATGAAATCATCTACAACTCACTTGGGTTTCGAAAAGTTTGTGTTAGATGGGTAACGAAACAATGATGGAAGAGCACAAACAGAAGCATTTGGACATCTGCAAACCTCAAGGTTGGCGGTTCAAGCTCACCAGCGGCTCCTTGGAAACACTGTACAGTGTCACTATGAGTCAGAACTGACTCAACGGCACTTAACAACAACAACAAAAATTTTGGACCGATACTCGAAGGAAGGTAAAAGTTTCTTTAAAAAAATTGTTACTGGTGACAAGACATGGATTCATCACTATAAGCCTGAAAGAAAACAGCAGAGTATGGAATAAAAACATCCTCAACTGTCAACCAAGAAAAAGTTCAAGTCAACCATCAGCTGGAAAATTGATGCTCACATTTTCTAGGATTCTCAAAGGGCCAGTATTGTAACACTATCAGGAAAAATGTTAATCAATCAACAACAGTGCTCCTTACAGTGAAATGCTCACTGATGAACTGAATCCTAAATTTCGGATTAAACACAGAGGACTGCTATCTAAGGGCTTTAGGAACTTGCATGACAATGCATGTCTGCACACCTCTGCCCACACTCTTGACACTCGGCAAAAACTTCGTTTTGAGGTAGGTATTAAAACATCCTCCCTATAGTCCTGATCTTGTGCCATCAGACTTTAACCTGTTTGGTCCCCTGAAAGCAGCCCTTCAAGGACAAAGATTCACCTGTGTTGAAGAAGTGAAGACAGAGGTGCATGTAACTTGCAGCTCAACCTAAAACTTTTTTTTTTTTTTTGGATAATGGAACACAAAAGCATGTTGACAGATGGATGAAGTGTATTTAAAAAATAAGGCGATTGATTATGCTGAAAAACGATGCATTTGTCTTTTCCAAAAGCTGATTAAATAAATTCTAGAACGAGAACGTGGATAATCTTTGACTCACCCTTGTATATTACCTTTCTATAGTTTGGGCTCTTTCAGAACTGAAACAAGAAAGTGTGTACAAGAAGGAGTTTGGGGAGGTGAGCCTAGATTTATTTAAGAATTTACCCACTCAACAAATATGCGGAGCAAAGAATGGGAAAGTGACAGATGGAAGGGAGACAGTCAATAAAGGGTACATTAAGCAAGTGTCTACTATGGGCACCTGGGGTTTAATCCCCAGGGCAACCCTGTGAGGCAGGGTAGAGCACTCATCTCTGAGTTATATTACCTGAGGGCCAGGGAGCTGGCGCATTTATATAATTTAGCCTTTGGTTACAGGGGTAGGGATGGGTTGCAGTAAACTCCTTTGTCCAGAGAAAGTCTTTAGGCAAAAAGATGCTGGTAGCTGCAGTTGAGTTGGTGGGCTGCATACAGTGATGTCAAGTGGAAAGGCCCATGGGGATATAGATGAAACATTAATAGTGTCTGCTACAAACCTTCACCATCAGGAGAAAAGAAAGCCATTTCAGATTTGAAAAAAAAATGAGGTTCTGTTGTGCATAAAAGGAGCCTTAGTGAAGCCGTGGAGCACTCAGCTGCTAACCAAAATTCTAACCCCCCAGCTGCTCCATGGGAGAATGATAGCAGTAGTAGACTTCCAGAAGGATTACCATTTCCTATGATTGACTGGTGGGTTTAAACTGCTGACTTTGCAGTTAGCAATCCAGTGCTTATCCTACAGCACCACACTACTACTGGGTCATGCAAAATCACAATATGTTACAGACTTCCCTAAGAGCAAGTCTATTCAGAAACTTTCATACAAATTTACACTGAATCTGCAAGGAGGTCATGGTGTGTGAACTTTCCCAAACACATTAGACCACAGGACCCTTTTCCTCTGGAATCTTATAAATATTTTCACAGAACAGAGTGTTCCATCAAATGCGGCTAACAGAAACGTCCTGCTGGTTTTATAAATAATTTTAATGATACAAATGATACAAATGTTGGTCACCATAAAAAGATGGGTCCTGTAGGAGGGGATATACAATAATTTTATAAGAAAATTAAATGCCTTCAATTTATTTGATTTTGTTATTTGTTTGGGGTTTTGTAAATTCTAGCAACAGGTCCTAGTGGCTAGATTACCACTATTAGCAGATACATCCTTCCATTATAAACACAGAGAAGTATAGGACTGTGTTGACTATCTGCTGGAAAATTCAGGTAACAGAGACATTCTCATTATTAAATGGTAAGTATGATTCACTGTTGCCTTTGAGTTGTGGTGTTGGAAGAGAATACTGAAAGTGCCATGAACTGCCAAAGGAACCAATAGATCTGTTTTGGAAGAAGTGCAGCCAGAGTGCTCCTTGGAGGCCAGGATGGCTAAGCTTCGTCTCTCATACTTTG